TCTCGAACTGTACATCTCATTAAAGTAGGCAAGGTCATCATGAAAATTTAAAAAATTCGCTTATTTTGTGGAGCCAAATATCTTGAAATTACACCTGAACAAAGCGACTTACAAATACTCGAAATTTTGGAACAAGAGACCTCTTTAGCTTGTATGTTTTGTTTACCACTGTCAGGTCATGTGATAATTCCCTAGAGAACTGTTTCTTTTAAATTTCCTCTTTTTCACGTGTATATGCACGCATGACTTGCAAAAGATGAAGCTGGAAATTCCCTTGAGGTCTGAGACAAGTAAAGAAAACATACAAGCCAAAGAAGTTTGCATGCTTCATCCCCGGCACTTTCTCAAATACTTTTCAAAACTTTCGATGAATAAAAAAAATTTTTCCGTTAAATATTCTTTCTTGGCTAGTTAAAGCAAAATATAGTTATTCCACATTTTTCAGGTAAAAGGCAATGCCTTTGATAGATACAACTCTTTTTGCAAAATGCAGAGACAAGTTTGTGCACATTCCGATCATTCTTTGTTAGCGACAAACCCTTACCCTCAACGATCCTCTGAGGAATTATTTGCATATCATTTCTATTCATTTTTCTTACTGACACAAGAAAACGCGTTACCTAGCTCGACATTGTCTGGCTTTATGCCTGAAAGATTAACATGGTTTTGTGCATGTCTTAAGATAGCAGTCACATAAATATGTCATGGACCTATTTAAAATAAAAAATGGATTCTGGAGCTCACCTTCCAGTAATTCTATCCTTTTTTTCTTTCTTTCCATTATTTCTGTCCACTCCCATGCTTGATTTACGATGCCTCATCCATATTACTACAAGGGAAAGATACAACGCCGTTATTTTCCGAGGTTTATGAGACTGTCTTGTACTGTTATAGCTATTCAATTAGGTTATGGAATGTTAAATAAAAGAGCGCTCGTTCAAAATAGAAAAATAAATAACTAAAAGAACTAAGACATTTTCTACCCACAAACCTCATCTGTTCAAGATATCTTATTTAAATGCCAATTCAGCGATAATCGGTCCTCAAATTTCTTTTACCACAAGTTTGGATTGAATATACCGCAAAGCGACAACGTTCTAACCAGGCTAATGCTCGGGTTGGGTGGACTGATGCAATTTATTGATAATTATTTTCTTCGATACGTTCTCAGATACCTTTTATTGCTATTAAACAAAGCTAAGAGTGTGGAGTTGCTTCTCGCGAACACACGTTCGAAAAATTCTAAACATTAGTTCACAGTTCTCCCTAATTCGTAAGGCGCGTTGTACAGAAGAAGTTAAGCAGCAAAATTCACAGCTATCTCACCTGGTGTTCTGTTTTGAAATGCAAAAACCGTTGGTCCAGGTCAAATCTAAGTCCATGTTTAGAAGGAAGATTTGATTAGCTGGAAGTTCTTTCCTGCGAAACAAAGCTCTTCTTACCACGAGGAACCGTAAAATGGAAATGAGTTGAAATATTTCACGTGCAAATTCAGGCACGCGAAAAATATCTTGGGAGCGAGATTGACGAAAACTTGCATCCAAAGAAGTGCAAATCAATTGCATGATTGTTGTGGCGATAGTTTTTCGTAAAGTCGATTTGCAAGCACGTGAAAGAAAGAGGGGTGAAAGTGCAAGGGGCAGGAACATGAAAAAATATAAAAGTTTACAGAGTTTCCCGGAGGAAGATGGTGCCTTGCGAGGTAAAGATTTTACCTACTCAGGGCTCAGTAAGGATTGAATAAGTGAAGTTGGCCTTAAAGGAAGCGTTCAGCGTAAGAAAGTGAAATTCACGGAGATCAGTTGAAGTTTCGAGTAGAATAACTTAACGGTCTTATTGGCTGAGTGCGAAAAATACATTTATTTGCCCCCAAATAAAAGTTTGTCTCCTACCAGTTTAGTATATTGTTAATATTTAGTTTAGATACTAAGTCAGTGGGGAAAGGCAGAGAGTCCTGAAGGGTAAATACTTAAGGGGACTGATAACTTTGATAACAATGGATTGTTCTTTAAGCAAGAGTCACGAATTTTGATGAAAAAATACATCGTCTCCAGCGATTTACTTCCTCAATGGTTACAAAGTTCGCATTGCGGACCTTTATTTTCGGGGATAGACTGGAGGAAACTGGCACTAGTGACGGTACGCCTGTAACATTGGAACTTTTTCATGGAGGGCTCTTCGTTTGCTCGACGTCGTGCCACACTGTAAGTCTCATTAATCGATTGCGATCCACAAGCCTGCCGTAAAAATGCCATCAAAGTGCCCCGTTTGCAACAGAGAGGCAGTTGATGTAGAAGAAGGAGGAGAACTAGTTTGTACAGAGTGTGGAGCTGTTGTGGAGGGTAGAGTTTTCAACTTTGACGTTGATCGTCAAAATGGCTACACCGCCATGACAGCTGATGGTACGGCAAAGTTTGATGGACGTTACGATCTACCAAGTACAGTAAGGCAGCGACTACCGACAAGCGACACTTCAGTTTCTAAAAAGCGACTTCAGAAGTTCCTGTTTGAGCTTGCAAAGCGCATGAATCTTCCGAACGAAACTGTAAAGGAAGCAAAGGATTTTCTCTTAACAACTGTAACATCAAAAATTAAATCAGGAGAAATTCGACATATAAGTCGTCACAGGGACATTCTTGCTGCGAGTTGCCTGTTTATCGTTTGCAGGAGGAATCACATGCAAATAAACTACAGACGTATGGCCGAGATCGCGCAATGTAACATGTTTAGTCTCGGTAAATCGGTGAAAATCATTTTAAAAGCTCTCGATCTTCAATTGGAGCCGATTGGAACTGAGTCTTCGCTAGGATGTGTTCTTGCTCAGTTGGATGTTGAGGATAAGTCTGCTGAGAAGACCTGCTTTGATTTGTTTCACATTTTTAAGTACTTCAGTCTGGTCGGTGAGAGAAATCACTTTGCCTCTGCTATGGCTTTGGTTCTTATTGTACTGGAAGGTAAAAGAATCCCTCCACGCAAAGAAAAGATTGCAGAAGTGTTAGGAAAAAATTCTGTGACAGACACCCAGCTGAAATCACAATCAAAGAATACCAGAAGGGGTTTAATTGAACTGGCAAAAGATGTACCCTGGATTCCAAAATCACTTAAGACAACTGCCATTGCAAGGCATATTGATGACATTGTTGATTTCCACAAAAACTGCGGAAAGATGGATTTGTCTGCAGTTAAGTCTCTATATATGAAGAGGAAAGAACTTGCACAAAACAATCGTAAGAGAAAGATACAGATGGCTAAAGCACGCATAGACAAGGAAAAAACACAACAGCTTTGCAGCTCAAGTGAAGACAGTTCTTCTACTAATGATGCCCTGGCTGATCCTTCAGGTCCAAGCAGTTCTTTAACTAACCAAAGTAAGGATGGTGGTGTAACAGGGGATCCAGTAACACACAATTTGCATGTTGATGGTGTTGACAGAGGCCAGCAGAGTACTTCTGCAGATGCTCCAGAGTTTAGCATTGACAGTGAGCTGGATGATAATGATACCTTGATAGAAGGCCTGTTGAGAAGTGGCTACTCTGAGGAAGAGTTGATGGATGGTTATTTTGAATCAAGAATGGTTGATCTTCAGGGCAGCTGTGACCCTGAGGGGGAGAGAGAAGATCTGGATGAACTTGATATCAGTGAGTCTGATATGCATCATTATTTGAAGTCTGTTGCTGAAGTGGAACGAATAAGGAATCTTCAGAAAGATGACTCTTATCAAGCAGTAGGACAAAGTCAGTAAAAGACAAGCTGAAATAATCAGTGAAATTATCATTTAAAGACAGTCCTCGCGACTTTCATTTAAATCTATTTATTGTTTAGCAACTAGAATTGACAGACGGTCCTGCCTTAATTTGAGTGCAGGAAATGTTGACATGCCTATTTTGTGTTTCATGTGAAATTCCTTATGTCCTCATGCCCGTTTGGCATTTTGCCATGTTACTTGTTATTCTTTTTTCATTAATAAGTACAGGCTGTGGTCTTATTAGTGCAGGGGTTTCAAAATATGCTAGCCACCACTGGAGTTCTATCAGCAACTTTAAAATGTATTGCCAGTTTCTCTGGTCAAGATAATTACCTTTTGGCATTTAATTAACTTTTCATTGTCACCTACTTTTGCAGAGTGTGATGCTTCAAAAAATTTTAAAAAACCCCTGTTAGGGCTGAGTGGCAATTGAAAATGACACAAAATGGTGACTAAAATCCTCTGGATCTCAAAGAAGTCCAATTTTCAGAGAAGACAATCCCTTGTGTACAATCACATGATTTCTATTGGGACAACAAAACAATCAGATGAACAAGATCTATAATAACCCTTCAATGGGAGTGACCAAAAGAGAATTTCTCTGTACAATATCAATACAATAATAAGCAGAAATGTAATGAGAATAAAGAAAGATATAAATTAGGGACTTATAAGTTGATCCAATACCAAATTCTCCAAATTAACACCTTGAGAATTGTATGGCAGGCAGCAAGGAAAATTTCTAGTGAGATCTTCAGAGTGAAAGGGTTAAATTTTTGTAACATGGACGGAACTTTGTAACAAGCTATACTTGAAACTGCAAGGTTATTTTGAATCATGAATGACCGGAGGAGACTATCCAACTACATTTAACCCTTTAGCTCCCAGAAGTGATTCACATGTAACTTCTCCCTACAATATCCAGCCACTGTCCAGCAAACTGGTATTGAGAGTACTCAAATATATCAGGTAAAAGTTGTTATCCTGATCTAACACCAAATTCTTGCAACTAGTTTACAAGGAAATGAGTAGAAGCTATAGGGGAGAAAACGGCCAGATCCTGGCAGTTTAAGGGTTAAGTGAGACTTTTGCATATAATGCACAAGACTCATTTCACTGGGATATAGAGCCAAGTTTGAATGCAAACAGGGAAAAGAGCACAATTTGCTCCACAGGCAAACACCTCCCATACAAGATTTTTGGTAGTTACTGAGGATATAAAATTTACCCAAACTAGGAAGAACAACACAATGGACAAGAAAATATTTTGCTTTATTGGTACAGTGTATTTTCATCATAAAAAGTACATTCTTTCTAACTAAAATACTGACACCTCTCAAGGTTAAATAATTCTATTACTGGAAAACCTATAAATTAAATTATTTTCGTGAAATTTCATGATAACAGCATAATGTGCAATCCATCACCTAAACCATCTTGACCACACCTTTGAATGATTTACTTAGACTGCTTTTTTTTTAGAGTTCAATTCTTGAAAACATAATGTAAGTGATGCCCAAGTAATAGCACAATAACTTCAAATATTAAAGACTTAGAGCTTTAGCTCCATCAGCTGGACTGGTCACTAAACATGTAGCCTTGTTTCCATAGCCATCCTGGTGAAAAAAATATATATATATTAACCATTAACTGTCAAGAGTGACCACCACAGAATTTCTCCCTACAATATCAATACAGTGTCAAGCAGACATGTGATGAGAATTAAGAAAGATAACAATTAGGAGATTATCAGTTGATCCAAAACCAAATTCTCCAACATAACATCATAGTAACCATATGACAGGCATTAAGGAGAATTACAATTGAGATCTTGGAAGTGAAAAGGTTAATGAAACCAAACAAAGATTGGTGCAGGTGCATGCTTTTATCTTCTAGTTTTTGGTTTGGTGCAGGCACATGCATATATCTGCTAGTTTTTCAAAACCAAACAAGTCAAGCTAATGTTTTTTAATCTATTTGCTAACAGTGTACTCATTTTACACTCTATCCATAATCAAATCGAGAGCAATTAGCTTAGCCAATCAGATTGCAACATTTGCAATGGAATAATGAAAGATTTATCCTATTTTTGCATGGTTATTGACATGTTTTTATGTAAAATATTATTCAACAGATTATCATAGATCACATCATTGCCTGAAGCAAAGTGATTGCAAGACTAAAACATTCATTTTTAAAAATGGCCATTTTGCTATGTCATGATGTGTTTCTAATAAAAAAAAACCAAAAACAAAAAAATGAAAGAAAACGCAGATGATCTATTAGTCCCCAGTCAAAAAAGGTGATTTACATGAACTTTCATTTGCTTCAAAAAGTCAAGGCCACCATCAAACTTTAGACTAAGAAGAACTTAGCATCCACTCCCCAAAACTACACCTGCATTCCAAGCAAACTTTAGAGCCATTAGTGTAGTAAAACTAACCTTAATGTGTTTTATGAGACTGTCAACTGAGGACTTCTTCACCAGAGTAACAGTACACCCACCAAAGCCGCCACCCGTCATACGGGAACCGTACACCCCATCTACCTCCATAGCAAGTTTAACCAGTAGGTCAAGCTCTTCACAGCTAACTTCATAATCATCTCTACAATCAAAACACACAAGAAACATCAATTGTTAATATTTCTGACATGGTATCAAATAATTTAACTGAACACATGGAAAAATATGGAGATTAAAAAAAAATGAGCACAGTCATTCCACTAAAATTTACTAAGTTTACCAAGTTCAGTCTTTCAAGATGGCTGGATGTAAGCCAGATGTTTTTGGTTATGTGTGGTTTTGTGGACCATTTTAAGGCTATCTCCTTTGGAATCCATTATCACACCATAATGATGAGACAAGTTTAAACAAAAAAGGATTTTTGTAATATGCATAATATCACAGTAAAGAATATTGCCCTCGCAAGAACGAGGCATGCAACCAAGAGCAGATCACCTTCTGAACACATATAACCAGTAAAAGAACAGGATCTGCTTCACTGTGCCTCTTGCCAAGCCAACCACACAATAAATAAATAAATTTTTAAATGAAGATGTATTTAGTCAAATCTAACACAGTTTGTATATAATACCGTAATGAGTTGTGACTTTCCACCATCAGTTTTCCAAACTTCTCATATTCCTCCTTTTCAATGGCTGCCGCAGCTTCAGTAGTTCTTTGAATTTCTCCAATCACATGCCTTGCTCTGCGGAACACAACATCTTCTAGCTTTCCTTTGCTGGCTATAAATTAGAATAACATTTTGTTTTAGTTCATGTCAAACGAGTCATTCCTATTTCCTCCCAATATATGACTAATCTGGCTCTAGGATTGAACAAGTTTTTGTCAGGTGAAGCAGGAAAAGCCATCCATTCCTCTCTTGTGCTACTCTGTTTGATTCTAATTATGGACTTTAACTTAAATTAAAGGGAAAGAAGAAAATAAGTTGTATTTTTTGATAAATGGTAAGTTTCTTGCTCTGAATTGAAGAAAGTGCGAAAAGATTTTGTGACCTGTAAATATTTTTTATAGTTGTCTAGCATATGCTCTTCCTATGTAAGTAGTCACCTCCTCTTTAGTTTCAAAGATTACTAAGAGCATGCCAAAGGGAAAAAAAAATTAAAAATACTTTTCTATACCAGTTACCTTCCAGTTCAGCCATGGTAGCTTCCCTAAGACTTGGTTTTCCTAATGCTGCTGCTGCTGTTTCACATTGTTTCCTTCTTGTTGGGTACTCACTTCCTGTTAGCTCATGCCGCACATTGGAATTAGTTACTAGGACAACTAAATCAGGGTTTGTCATTGGCACAAGTTTGGCTTCCATAGATCTAAAGAAAAAATGTTCAACTTTCATTGTCACAATCATTACCATCATGATGGCAAAGCCATGAGTTTATCACACAACTGACAAAAACTCTGCAAGCACTGCTGCTTGGACAAACTATGCTGGTTTGAGTAATTTAATAATAATATTAATAAGTAACAGCACTGATTATTATAAGCAAGTAAGTATGCCATGGAGAAGAAATGGCCTAGAAAGTAGCTGCAGAAATGAATCACATTCTATGTAACATTAAGTACTCCATTCTAGTCTTGGTCCTTATAAGCCAAAATATCCTTCCAAAATTTATCTCATGAGGGTTTGGGGTGAATGGCACCCTGACCCTCCACCCTCCCACCAGCTATACCCCTAGAGCTATGTCATATATTCCTTTGAATCAAATATCTTACCTACAATCAAGCAGAAGAGCATTGCCTTTCTTTCCCATAACAGAGATAAACTGATCCATTATCCCACATGGCATCTTAGCAAAGTCATGCTCAGCTTTTTGACATGCCAAAGCCTTTGCCTTCAAGTCTTTTTGCTCTTTCCCAGTTAGTTTTTCAAGAAAAGTATAAGTGGCAACTTCGAGAGATGCAGAACTAGACAACCCTCCTCCCAAAGGAACTGAGGTTGCAATCATGGCATCAAAAGTAGGGATTTCTCCTGGAAAGTTAGCAATGACACCCTTGACATAGTTAGCCCAAGATGGCTTGCCAGGAATCAAGGGCTTCTCTGGTGTTGGGGCAGGAAATGAAATCATCAATGGCTCATCTACACCTTTTGCAATAGTACCTAACTGACAAACATCACTGTCTGACTTTCTTCCAACTATTACTGTCACAAGCTCTAAAGCCTGCAGAAAATACAAAGCAACACAATTTAGTTCACTGCTCAATCATTTGGTTATTGAGTTAAGTAGGCTGCACTCCAAGAAAGGCCATAACAATGTTACTGTGAGGGGTAGGGTTTTAAAACCTTTTAGATAAAGTGTGCTAATTAAATAGGTTTAACCAAGCTAGAATATCCTGTGTCATTTCCAAAGAGATCAGTCAACCTCAATAAATTTATAAGGTATTTATAATTCTATCCCTCATCCACTTGAAAAAAAATTCTAAAATGACTTTTCTTCTGAGCACAAACCTAAATAGAAGGCAAAATCTAGAATATCTGAGGACAGAAATATCAAGATCAGGAAGCTAACTGTCAAAAGACTGTGAGCTTCCAGGTCCGTATACCACATAGCCACTCAATTTACTCACAAACTGATTATAACTAGCTACGAAAAAAAAAAATTTCAGAAATCACCAAGGAATAGAGTTGGATTAAAATAAACCTATCCTAACACTTAGAAAGAACTTGAACATCCAGCTACACGCTTAAAGATAAGTACAGACTTGAAATTTATAGTTTAGTCCGACTAAACCACCACAAGAATTGACGGATACTAAATTTCTTCTTTAAGATGCATCATTTATTATCTGCTCATTCATGGAGAAAATAAAAATAAATTAATAAATAAATAAATAGAATAAAACTAAACCTTAGGAGAATAATTATCCAAGGAGCGCGTCCAACGCCACGACTACACACAGTTATCTAATATTCCCTTACCATTGGAAAAACAAAACCATCATTGTAGTCTGTATGCTCCCCAATGAGATTAACTCTTCCAGGTGCACAAACAGCAATCGTAGGACTAGTATGAAATTTTTCTTCGAAAGAGGTTTTCGCTATCTGAAGAATGTCTCCGGACGCCATTGTAAATCAAATGAATTTGTCCTCAGTCTCTCGGCTGTCATGTGAGCGTCCAAGGTGAGCGTCCATGTGGGCGTCACAAGGCGCACAAAACTAATAATTTATGACATCTACAAGAATAGAATAGCCTGGATTATTACAATACAGGGATGAGATCTGCTAAAATTGCAATAAATTATAATTAAAGAAAAGACCCTTTACTGAAGTATGAGGGAACACTGACATTTTCCATAGACCTTTTACCTAAAGAATTCATCACAACTTTTTCAGTACTGGTTCACGAGCAAAATTGTGGAGCTCATTGAAATATAAGCAAAAATGGCGCAGTCAAAGTTATTCTTAGACAAAAGCCTCAGCATATACATCATGGGCTATTTTTTTTCTTCGATAGTGATGGTATTTTTTTTCGCGTCTCTCAGGCGAACACGAAGCGTGAGTCACGCAAGGGAGCCAAGCTATAACAACGTGCCAGAGTGACGCAATGGGAGTGCAGACGCTAACCTCGCCCATTCTTCGGACATTTTTGCGATAATTAAATTTCCTGGTGGTTGTTTCTACTACTCGTTTTTGTCTTACCTTCTCAACTTTTCAAGTGAGCAAGGTACATTTGGTAGAAATAAATAACTAGGAACGTTTACACTTGTTCGCTCTCAAAGCAACTTAAATGAGACACTGGGAAAACTTCTGGGTGGAGCATTGACCGAATTAAAGGGGCCACAGTATTTGTTTCTCCTTTCGTTAAATCCTGTTTCAGAAATTTCAAGGTGAATTGCAAGAGGGGAATTTGAAATATCTGGGCTAAACTCTTCAAAAAAAAAAATAATAATAAAAATAACTAAAAGCGTTTACACTTGTTTGTTCTCAAGGCACAAACTGAATGAGACAGGCAAATCTTCCGGGTGGAGCATCGACTGAGACAAAGGAGCTACAATATTTGTGTGTACTTTTTGGTAAATCATGTTTCAGAAATTTCAAGGTGAATTGCAATAGGGGAATTTGAAACATTTGCGCTAAACTTTTTAATATGCAAAGACTGAGATGTACCCCTTTAGGTGGAGATTGAGGAAGACTGGACCATAAGGAGGTTGAGAACTGTCAAATATAGACTTACCAAAGTCATGTAAACAGAATCTCATACTTCCTTAAATAGGTCCCTAAATTCTTAATGGGAGATGTGGCAGATAAGATGGGGGACTGAGTTAATTTATTTGACAATACTGCTCTTGCAAAAAGCTTACTTTACAATAGCTCTCCTTACTCAGAGATCTTCAACTATCAACACAACCATGTCACTTAAAAATTATTCATAAAAAAAACATTCTTATATGCTATGTTACAACACTAGGATTTTACAACCCTTTTTAAAGAATTCAGAAGAATATTTCAATACCCCTTTTCAAATGTTTTAGTCATCATTAATGCAAATTACATAAATGACAGACTCAACATTTACTAGCCTTTATCTAAGTTTCCTTGCGGCACATTGTCACACATTGGTACATTAAACATGCTTTTGTACGTTCCACAAAGCTACACTGTAAAATAATGTTACAAAAAAAGTAAAGGATCATTCCTACTGCACCTGGGTAAATTTTATTTGAAGGACTATGGGATCAGGCCCAAATGTTACCCTTACAAAGATGTATATGATAACACTTGTATATCAAGGACATGCAATAGGTACATATTAACAAAGAGTAAGAGTGAGCATCAGTTCCTCCATGGTCCAAGCACTTCTGTAGGTATGAACAGCTAGTAAGTGTCTCTTTATAAAAATACTTCATCTTCCTTGGCCTCATAATCCAATTAACTCTGATCTTGATTTAGGACACTGAAAAATTCACAGAAAAATAGGTTTAGAGTGATCCACCGCAAGGAGCCAAAACTTTCTGAGCTCAACATTGGCAGCAGCTGCTTTTAGAATGTTTAGGGGCATCCATCCTTTCACCTCTAAGGTATAATGATCAATTCTTGGCACTGTCTGCGGTATATTTCATCATTCTTAGCTTGGAGAATTTGGTGTCAATCAAGAAATATCCCATAGTTGATATTTTTCTTACTTCTCATTGCTTTTCTGTATGAAAATGTACAGATATTGTGAGCGGAAATTTCTGTTTGGTCACTTTTGAGAGTGAAACAGTTAAGGGTGATCATCATGCTCAAGAACTCAGCACAATAACCCCTGCCAAAGCTTAAACCCACACCACTGAAGGAAAATTAAAAACTGAAAATTTTAACAGCAGATGTGATTCAGACTCACCTTGTTTGCATAGTGCCCTTTGTCCCCACACTGAACAGAAAATAAAATTTAAAAAATATGAGAATAGCAGAGAGAAAAAGGAATTTAAAAAAATTAAGTTGACACAGCTGTTCTAAATATCAACAAAAATCCGATTTTCTTTGCCTTTTTACCCTTTAACTCCTAAGATCTCTTTAGTAATTCTCCTTTCTGTCTGTATTATAGTTCTTGTGATGCTAGTTTGGAGAATTTGGTATTGGATCAACCAATTATCCCCTGGCTAATATTTCTCTTTATTCTCATCACTTGTTTGCTTGATATTGATATTGTTGTTGATCACTCATGGGAGTTAAAAGGTTAACATCCACAAAACACTCCAAAGAAACCTACAAGCTTTTGGTACCTGGACTACATGTACCACTTTAAAAGAACATTCTAGAGAAAAAGCAAGTACCTATAGATGAACCAGTGTTAGAGAAAAGTAAAACAGAGTTGCTTCTTTTTTGTTTTCCTTCTCATTCTGATTGGTATAGAAATATAGCACCAATCTCTCAAAAAATCAGGGCCCAGTTACATAAAGGTGGGATAATGCTATCCCACAAATAAATTGCTATTCAGTGGATAAGTGATAACAAAATGTATAGCATTATCCACTGTACAGAGATCTAGCCAGTGGATAGTGTTATCCAATCTTTGAACAATGGGGGCCAAAACTCCACATGTTCACTCCTGTTTTCCTATGCTTTTAACTGTTTGCTTCTTTTCCCCTGGGTTTTTATGGGCTCTACATCATACCACCCTTCGTTTTTATTGACTGCGGTGATTAATTTAGGGTTGTGCAAGTCAATCAGAAACATTCTAATTGAAGAATTTGGCTTCATCACATGCAAAAGTGCAAGGTGTTGGCTTTGGGACAAACCAAGTAGTTTGTATATCTAATTAGCCTTGACAGATCTATAACAACTTTACACCCACCTTGAAACAAGTGACTGTTTCTAGAGGCCTTCTCATCATGGGTCGATCAGTATCCAAATGTGCATTTGTTGTCACTGGAACAATATTTACATTGATATTTTGATGCATCCCTTGTTGATTCTGCAGAAAAAAAAAACAAGTTTAGGTTAAGTCTGCACTCCAGCAAAAAGGCCCACTGCAAAGGAGATTCCAGTCTCCATTGCAACATGCAAATAGGCTCCCACTGGATTAGATGCTTGTCTTCAATCCACCTTTTTCAATTCCCAAAAGGACCCATTTCACATCTTAAGTGGAGGAAGAAATTGTGAAAGTAACATGTTTTGCCAAAGAACACACACAGGGATTCCTGCCTGAGAGTCCAACAAATTCATAACTAGGGCAACCCAGTCACACACAGAAATACTTCCACCTCCAGCTGTAACTGCATTCAAACCATTAACATGTAACTTCTCCCTACAATATCTATGTATCATCCAGCAAAAAAGGTAACGAGATTACTCAAACTTGTCACTTAGAGGTTGTTATTTGATCTAATGCCAAATTCTCCTAACTGATTTACCAGGAAATGTGTAACAACTAGAGGGGAGAAAAAACAATCAGATCTTGGGAGTTAAAGGGTTAAGAAGACAGCCAGCTTTAAAAAAAGTTACCACAATGTTTTCACTGAAAACAATAAAAATATCTGTTGAATAAGACAGAGATTTAAATCCATGCTAGTTACAACAGCAGATGGCAAGATTTGAACTTCTGCTTTCATTACTTTACCCATTCACGCTATGGGTAACAATGATCTTATTCAGTGCATTAAGATGTATTTGACAATTATTTTCTGTTGGGTCCATGTAGGCATTTGAAGATTCAATTGAATCCAAATCCACCGTTTCCTCTCAAACACAAAAATCTATGGACAACTCATGACAACTACAGGTCAAACATTGAGCCAGTCAGTTCAATGCCCCTTGTTGTAAACAACTGTCTCTGAATAAGGCTGTTGTATGCAACTAAAAATAACATTGAAAATACCTAAAAACTGTCATCCAGGCCCCAGTTGTTTGAAGGATGGATATTGCTATCCATTAGATATACCTCTGTCCACTGAATAGTGCAGTGTGTTCTGTTAACACTTGTGCACTTGATAACGAGTTATCCATTGGATAGCTTTATCCTTCCCTTGAACAACTGAGCCTTGATGTATAAATGATTGATTTGGGAACTGAAATACTTCAAATGATCCATTGCGATATGGTATTTTTAAACCAACCTTATAGTTTTCTTTGTGGGGATTTGATGGACAGCTGGATGCTTTGTGACCAGGCTGATTACAGTAATGACATACAATGTTCATGGCTTTTTTCTCGCTGCTTTCATCTTTCACAGGAAGCTCAAATCTTGGACTGGAAAAAAAAAAAAAAAAAAAAATTGCATCAAAGTCCTATCTTCTCTATACAGGCCTTTGTTCATTCTGAGTCAAACATCAGTTCAGTCATCAAAAAGGTCCCCCATGCAACCATTTAACAATAAAAAAAAGAAATGGTCCAATTACATGGGGGGCTCTTCATCTAAGTAGTATTAGGTCACTTTGGAACTTAAGTATCATCAAAAGAGTTGATAACATAAATTGGCCACTGTAAAGAGTACAAAAGCTGACATTCTGAGGGTGAACCCTTTGTCAGAGCACTCTGATGAAGGGTTAACAATCAAAACGTCAGCTTTTAAACTCTTTATGGTGGCCAATTTAAGTTATCAACTCAGTTGATATACAAGATTACCCTGTTATACTCTCCCACCAATGCAGCACCACACTTTCATAAGAAACTTAACCCTTTTATTCACTTTGGAACTTGTTGCGTTGATTCTTGTACATGTAGCAAGAATGAAATCCAACAACAAGTTCAGATAGAACCCAAGAAATAGCATTGGGAGGCAAACATTCCTGCCATGGCTCCAACTTGTCCTCTCCTTTTTTATTTTAAACAAAAAGTAAGAGCCTGTTTGCCTCCCAAAGGAAAAAAAACTGTCACCCTGCCCACTATTAGACAATAAATAGATAATTAAATAAATATCAGAGGAGCACCTGCAGAGAATGATTGATCTATGTTAAAACAACAAAACAAAGTCACAAAGTGATCAAAGGATTTAAACCCTGTGGTCTCTTGTAGTATCGACACAGCAAATAAATCACTTACAAAATAAAATAAGAAAGTCAAATCTCATAAGAAAGCAATGATAGATGCAAGCTGACTAATCACACAGCACAACTTACTGCATATGTTTACACTTAGGGCCTTCAGGACAAAACCCACACATGTAGTTCAGGCAAATAACTCTCCTCACATGTCGATGCCTACAGCTTGGACCTGATATTGAAGAATAAAACAATAACATATGCTGAGATGGTTGCCAGTCATATAGAACTTCATTTTTAAATCTATTATCATAAGGCTTCGTTGTTGTTCATTAAAAGACACTTATCCTGGCTAATAGTTTTTTTTTCTACTGTCTATTCCCATCTTTTTGCCTTGGTATTGATATTATAGAAAAAGTTATACGTTCATCCCTTTTTAATCTTTTCAACCTTTTACCAGTAAATTGCATGACAGTAATAGATATATGTAATGACATACCATGCTTGCAGAATCCTCTGTCATACCATGGACAGTCCTTTATCTTAGACTCAGGATCAATGTGAAGGTATTGGCATTCTTTGTTACTACATTCACCTTCATGAATTAAATCATGTTTCAGCTTAGTATCATGTATCATTTGATTAATTAACAAATCTGACATGCACATCCACTGGCGCACTTTATGGTTTCTGCAACATCATTAAGACTCCTCCTGAATGGAAAACTAGTCCTTTACAAGTTTAAAGTTAAGGTAAAGTCTGTATTCAAGCCAAGAGGCCCATCCATCTTTCCAGCTTATACCAGTATTCCTAGCATGGAGTGAAAAACAGTTTTCAGGGTTTGTACCCCTTTTCAAAAACAAATTTCAAGGACTTTCCCAGAACTCAGATTTATTTTTCCAGGACTCCAAATTTCACCTTAAACCATTTCATTCCCAAGATTTCAAAATCAATTCTCTTTCCTGTCTACATGCATTTCTTAAAACACTAATTCTGAAAACTTTATTGCTTGAGTAAAGAAGATTTTCAGAGCTTCCCAGTCTTGGAAAATGTCATAATAAAATTTTAGGACTTTCCAGGTTTTCTGGAACCCGTATAAACCCTGAATATTGCAACCCCTCTCCCATCACAAGTTACCCCCAACATTCCCCAAGTTTTCCTGAAATTCTCCAAGAACCACTCATAATCTTGGGAAGAAAAGAACACTGAAAGAGTCAATTGTCTTCTTAGATAAAGGTACCATGATCTGATGTAACTCTTCATTAAATAAAATAAAATCTGTTTACTTGATCTACATTAAATATGACAATTTCAAAATAATAATGGTATGCACTTACCAAACTTGGAATAAAAATAACATTCAGGCATTTTTGTCATGTCATATTCATGAAGAAACTCGCATTGATCACCCTTTTTACACAGCCCTCTCAGCCAGTGCTTACAGACAACTGTCTTTTCACCTTTGGTGTGTCTAAAAGGACAAACTGGCCCTCGATTGCACATGTTCCTCATAAAAAATTCACACACTGCTGCACCAGACTCTGTACAACAAAACATTGCCAAGAGAAGAACACACAACAAAAAATAACCATTGTCATTTAAATCATAACACTTTTTGAACATACAAAACAAGACAGGAAAACTGCAAGTAGCAACAATAATTAGTTAATGGTTTTATGGTTTGCATGCATCTTTATCACAAATTTGATAACACAATAAACATTAATGACTGTGGAAATATGAAATTCATATATATATATATACTGCAGATTAAGAAATGAACACTACAAAAGCAGAGATAAAAGTTGGCTTAGCACTGCACTGGTATTGCAGACACCATGGGATTAAATCCCATACAGGCCTGAATTTTTTTTAATAGGCCTTATTTTCACTACAACTTAAGAAGTGTTCATTACTACGAAGATCGCTTTCATATTAACAATAAATATTGTCTAAATATTGTAGACATCAGCGTGTTGAGAGTTTGATATTTAACCAGGTCTGCTGGGTTCAGGTACATTGCTAGGATTTGGGGTTAAACTAATTTTAAAGAGATTAACGTGCAAAAAGCAAAAATGACATTTGTCGCGACCAAAACTCGTTATTGAATGGTACTGTCCATGCCCGGGAACGGAAGAGGCTGAACTCCAACTTGGTTGTACAATTGCATCTCAATTTCAAACTTGAGATCTGCTACACTCGCCACGATGTCTTCCATTGTGTCACAAAGCTAGGCAAATAGAGCGAAATCCTTCAAGAGATAGCCTGATTCTAAGTTAGCGTTATTCTTCCCAAAGAGATGACTGAAAAAGACTTTCCAATACAGTCGCACATGGTCCTCTGTCAAACATGGCGGACTAATACCCGGCCAAAATAACATGAAAGCAAGGTTGCTAATATATGCACGCTGACTTATCTCGGAGGTCCTCGAGGGCTCAACTTAGGTCAACCATTTCCTTTTTCCAATTCATGGGCAGTGAAAAATTTTAAATAATTTGTCTTAATCCTCGTGTACCGATTTCAGTCTGAATCAAAATGTCAAGACGAGGAGGTAGGTTTGAGCATTTCGTCGTCAAGTTGAACTTTTGAGCCCCGAATGAGACGTTTTTGGCTGTTTTAGGTCGAGGAAAAACACATCACAAAGGCAGGAGACGCCATTTTACCGATGCAGAGGAGCTGCAAATGGAGATGGAGAGAGAAAAGAGAAGACAAGAATGGAGGGTAATTTGACTTGATAGTGTTCTAGATATATCTCATTAGCACTCTTTTCTTGAAACAAATTAAATGAACAGTGCAGATACCGTCAACATGTACAGAATTTAACAGAGGATGCTGAGGAACTTAAATTAAATGAAAATGCAACGTGAATTAAACATGATGCAATGCACACATGTACCGATACGTACCCTTTTAAACAAAAAATTCGACGCCTTATTCGCCAGATTATTTTTATCATTGAGGATAGATCTTTTGTTGTAAGACTTCAACTAAAATTTCCAATGTTGAATTAGTCATGGTCTGAAAAACTAAATCGCCGTCGAATAAGTTCCTCCGAATTTACAAGGAGTTAAGTTTGTTGTTGCTCGCTCAGCTGTTGATTTATTTACAACGATGCATTTGTATAATTTATCAGCACAGGAAGCTTCTATATGTCACTGTTAAAGAACTTCACTCCCCTGTTTTAATATCAGAGATGTATTTGTATTTACCTTCAAATATAATTTTTTCAAATGATTTGCTCTTGGAATCTTTTTTATTGTCTTTGAAACACTACTGAATAAACGAGATAAGTTTCTAAAGAAACTGTGGTGCTGCATCAGTTGGGGTAGTATAACAAGATAATTTGATTTAATCAACAGAGTTAATATAATTATAAATTGGCCACCATAAATAGTTTTTAAAGGTGATATTTCAACCGTTAGCCCTTCGCCCTGGCAAAGGGCCAGCAATTCTTATTATAGGAGAAACTGCCTAAAACATAGTTGGTTTTCCTTAAAAAATATTTCAACTGAATTGCTCAGCCTTTATCATTTAACAACATAAATTGTGGCTTTTGAAACTAGAATTATCCATGTAACCTTGTTTTAACCTTTCATCTTCAGGAGAAGAAAGAAGGTGATGGTTCAGATGAAGAAGGTGCTGCTGCAGAAAAACCTGAGGCCAGCAGTGAGGAGGAATCTGATAGTGAAGAAGAGGTAGGAAATAGATGCTGTGGTCATCTAGCTTAAGGTAGTCCAAAATAATAATTGTTATTAGGGACAGTTGTTGACATTTTGACAGCTGGAGCAATTGTCATCATCATAGTCACACCTTATGTCAAGTCAGAGTCAAGTCACCCAAGTCTTGACCCTGATAATGTCCTGTGCTCAGTTGTCAAACCATTAGTTACTGCTAGTAAGAAAAGTCCTTTTTAGTTCCAAACTAACCCAAACAATCCCATCACACTGTCAAATTTTACCCATGGGTCAAAACTATTTGATAGAAAATGTATACACTTTTTTAATGGTTTAGCTGGTAACACACACTGATATTTTGTGAGTTGCATGGTGTTTTCTGAACCTCATAGGGACGAGGAAAAACATTTGCAATGAGTAAAATGTGTGCTTGTATTATATGTTAAACCATGGAATAGAGGAATTATTTTTCCATTATGATTTCCACTTTCCACTATGATCTCCATTTTCCATCCATATTTTGCCCTGCGCCACAGTGTAATACTGTGGCATATTTTGCATGTTCTCATGCCTTAATATGGTAAAATGGCATTGTAGTGGAATAAAGGGCATTTTGACTCTATCTCACCTTGCTTCCCTAACCAAAAGCACTGAAAAGCTTTTTTTCTCTTTCATTTTATAGCAGGTTAAACCAAAAGGTGTAAGTGGTCTCATAGAGATAGAAAATCCCAACAGAGTCACTTCAAAAACAAAAAAGGCCTCAGAGTTAACCAATGATGATAGTAGTACTGTGCAACTATCTCGAAGAGAGAGGTTTGTCATAAAACACAATAGTTTTATATTTCAAGGAGTATATTTTCTTCTTGGTGATACTAATATTATGAATTTTAAAATATCTTGAGCCGTGATTGATCCAAAATTTTTACATTATTTTTTATTTTATTGTCCTTGATTTTTCTCTTCAGGGAAGAGATTGAACGGCAGCGTGCAGCACTGAGAAAGAGGAAACTACAGGAAGAAGGGAAAACAGATGAGGCCAGGGCTGATCTGGCACGACTAGCAGTTATACGGAGGCAAAGAGAAGAAGCCGCACGCAAAAAAGAAGAACAGAAAAAAGGTATTACCCTACCAAGCATTTCAGGTGTTTGTGGCTTGTAAGTGTAACTGTATGTGCTTTGTATTGGGAAAGCATTTCTTCAGTTGATAGTAGGTCACTCACAGTTTTAATCATCAATTGTATATTGATTGTATGAGATTTTTGGGTAGAGATGGCTACTAATTATTTGACTGTGAGGAGTGACCAGCATCTAATTTCTTCTTTCAGTATCACCCCTGAATTGAACTTAAAGGTCATGAGAACAAAGGAAATGATCACCAACCAAGAAGCTCTTAATTGTGAAACAAATTCTCCCTGTCAATTCCCTGGGAAATGTGTAGAGAACAGTTTGGAGAATATGCATTCTGATGTTAGGATGTGAAGGGTTAAGGATGTTTTATTACATAAACGATTTGAAGTTGCAAAAAGTAGATTGGCACAGCTTGTACATCAATTACATTCCAAGGATAATAATTATTTTGAGATATTTCAGCCTTGAGATGTGCTCTCTTAAGATCATATGGTTTGAATTCAAAATTGCTGATTTATAACAAATCTTTGTTACTTTACAGCAAAAGAAGCTGCTGATGCTGCTAAAAATGCCAAACGATGATAGAGGCCTAATAAAGGAGCACTGTCCTGTCGTGAGAGCATTTAGGATAACAGAACTGAATGAGTAAAGGCAGAAGTGGACAGATTTGGTGGAGATAATCGTATTTTTCGTACACTTGTAAAGTACTGAGACAAATTCTTGTAAAACGGAAGTAAATTTGAAACCTGTATCTTAATGTGGGAATGTGGCCACTTGAAAAATTACATTTTAGTCTGATATTAATTTTTCAACCAATTGCAAATGCACTTGTCAGCTTTTTGATTTTATGTCGAAGCTGGTGGCTTCTTATACATGGATAGATTGAGAATGACATAAAAAGCCCGTTCTTGTTGGACAAATTGTCTTTGGAAAAGAAGAAAAACAAAGAAATCTTATTTCTTACACGGTTGAGACTCGTTTAAAATACCGGCTAATTGCTTCCCCCAAAAAAACGCTAAAATAAAACTTTCTATGGATCATAGCTTGTGGTGGAATCAGCGTCTCAATCCGTATACAATTGGTTTCGTTGACCCAAAATACCTTATTCTATTACAGTCGAACAGTGCCACGATCTACTAAGCCTTTTATGTCTAAGATCTGATTGTTAGTTCTCCACTGTAGCTGCTACACATTTCTTACTAAATCGATGATGAGAATTTGGTGTTAGGTCAAGATAACTTTTACCCGATAAGTTTGAGTATTCTCATTACCAGTTTGCTGGAAAATGAATGGATACGGTGGGGGAGAAGTCACATGTTAATCACATTTATGAGTGAAAGGGTTAAAGAGTAGGCGTACCCAAGGAGAAAAGTAAACTGTCGCGGTGACATTCTTATAAGGTCGCCAACGAGAGGTGTCTCATTACAAGGAGTAAATACAAGCTTTAGTCATCTCACAAAGAAAAAGTAACCTTGGAAGTTTTTGCGAACCGTATCTCTGAGAACTACTATGAAAGGAAAATTTCTTGCGCCCTTTGAAGGGTAAGTTGCAAGAGAATGAAGTGGCAGGCTCAAGTCATCGTCATAAGATAATTTGGATTCGTCCACTGAGTTGATAATGTAAATATTGGCCACCGTAAAGCGATACTTAGGCTGGCGTTTTGAGCGTAGCGTCAGGTCTTGTCGTCTAGCGCCCGGGCAGTCAGCTTTGGAAACTCTTTACGATGGCAGTTGATGATAAACTGACCAAATTATCTAGAAAGTCACTCCCTTTATTCTCCCTTTATTCCCTAGTCATCGTTAGTTACATAACAGTGAACTTCTCTGCACATCACTCTGATGTATAGTGCGTTAAAAACTTTTTGCCGATGGCGAGAGACATGGGCATGAACACGATCGTGTAAAGCTGAGACTTTCATCAAGTCGTCAGTGATCATAAATTGTATTTAGTTACCCGTGATGGTCATTTTAAGGCGCAGTCAAGTGACGTCCTTTTCTCTGCCGCTTACCTTGAACTTACGAGTTTTTAAAACAAAACAACAAATACTTTCACTGCAAACTGAATGAAAAAAGATGTAGAATGTGTCGAATTTAACTGACAGCTTTTTCAGCCCTTCAGAGCAGCGTACGAAAACACTGAGAAATAAAACTAGTTCTCTCGATGCCTGTTTTCTTGACGCGACAGAGAGTTATCTAACGAAACAGTCTTGTTTTCCGGAAAAATTATCATATTTTGGTGAAATTCTGTGTGTCGACTTTCCCTTTGTATTCGAAGCTTTTCGCGTGTTCCGCGAAAGCAGAATCGCAAGTTTTATTATGATGCGTAAACAACAACCCATCTTTTTTAAATTAATACAAATCTTTGATAGGGTGCGCCATTTACAAAGAAAATTCAGTTTTAAGCGTGAGATAAAGCAAATGACAAAAAAAACAGTTTTCCGTCATAAAACAAATAAACATCAGGGAAGAAACTCCTAATCAGTATATCATGCATTTCAAATGGCGAAATAAACACTGCTGTGATAAAATATTGTGAAACATCAGTGCGGTTAATCCACCTCGTCTGATACATTCCAAAGCAAATTTAGGTACTTCTATCCAACTCTTTTTGTTGTAGTCAAAGTGTTTGTGTTAGTTCTCGAAATATTTTTCAATTTCGATCTTGAAAAACTCTTTCTTCTGAGAATACAGCGTCCTTCAGTCCGTAGTCACTCGTAGGTCCCATTCACCGTTATATAGTTACTTGTCAGCCAAGAAAAATCTGCGATGGCTCGAGGAGGCATTCTGTCTTGGTTTGTCTCGTCTACTTGCGGGACGAATTCTGTTTCTTTTCTGTTCTTGTGGATGTCTTCGGCGAGAGAGTTATTCTCAAATGACTGGTCACTTCCATAATCGCTGTTTCCCTTTGGCGTGGAGCGTGTAACTATACAGCCCATCTTCGCCTCTCAGAAAATGACAAATTCTCTCTCGTCTGACTGTAGCAAGGAAGGTTAGTGCTTACTGTGACGATGAAGAAAGCCGAAAGTTTTACATGAGATGTGTTTTCTGTCAATCATTGATCGAAAATCCAATCACGGCCCATCTGTGTTTACGTCATAAGCTAAGTCATTTGCGGTGTGTTTCCATGATAAAAAAATAACAACAACAAAGCATTACAGTCCATTAGGGCATCGGTATGTGGATTCCTAAGTCTGACGTTCGATTCCTCATGAGGACTCAGAATGTTTCCAATGTCGCACAGATGTTGCAAGACCGAAGAAATATTATTATTTTTTTGATAGGATTCGCTCATTATGCTATTCCATACTCCAAACAAGACGTAGTGTTTCAAAAAATGCTACAATATATCGAAACACGAGAAAATTACACCACAATTCATTCAACAAAATTTAAAAAGAGCAATTTACCTTCGTTTTTGGGAAGGTTTTTAAATGTCTTTTTTAGTAACACTGCAAATTATAAGATTATAAACCAAAATGATCCCATTGAGTTCTTGGGAGAAAATGTAGTAATGCAGTCACTAGAACTCAGAGTGTACGAAAGTAAAAGGACAAAAGAAGGGTTAATCGTAATGTCGCATGTTTCCTCAAAGATTTGCCTTAAAGAAAATTTCTCGACGTCGGAAGGAAACCATGTTACGCCAGTTGACCGGACCCTGGCGTAATGCTCTTTGCAAAGGAGCAAGTTTTGAAATGAACAGTTCACGCGAGCAGCTTTTGTTCAATTTTCCTTTCCTCACCAGAACCTAAATCATCTAAATCATTATGACCGATATGTTACTTTTAAACAAAAACGGAGACAAACGAACCGTCGACTGAGTGGGACCTTCCTTGTAATAAGATTTTCTCAAGAAATTTATCCAGTGATAATATTTTATACGCATATTTTAAGTTTTGATTCCTTTCATTTGTCTCACTCAAATTACTAATTTCCTAAATTATTCCCTCCTAATAAGTATAGGTAATTACATGATTTCGAGTGCAATTTGGAATAAATAAGCAAGAGCAAATTTTTTCAAAGACTAACGAAATTGCACGAGCCCGTAAGGCGAGTGCAATTTGTGGTCTTTGAAAAAATTAATAAGTGTTTATTTACTCCAAATTGCACGGGAAAAATCATGTGATTACGTATTAATAATATACAAGAAAAAATACGAGACAGCTAATAATGACAAGTGACATAACACTTGTCGCGTTAAATGAAAACTGGAAGACTAACCATAAAAACTTTTAACTCCGTTACAACCTTTTCTTAGTGAAAGACATGAACACAGTGGTTCACATGGTCAGTTACAAAAACATCTCCATTTTTAGACACGGCAACATAATTCGGTGCAAATGAAGACAGTCCAAACATCGACACAAACTTTCCGTCTCGTGTGAATACCTGAACTGAACTTTTCCCAGCATCACAGACGAGTAAATTGTTGAATGTGTCAATTGCTAGTCCACTGGGGTGAGCAAGATGTCCGTCGCCAGACCCCTTGCTGCCAATATCATACAGCAATATTCCGTCCTCGTCATAAACACCAACACGGTGAGCCTTACAATCAGAGACAAAGAATTTCTGCTCGTGGTAGATTACGCACTTTATTGAATCATGATGTTCTGAGGCACGGAAGCGTTTAAGTAATTTTGTCCCGTCGGGGGAGATGACCTCGAAGACATGGTTTATCGGATCACTACTGGTAATGGAATCATCTTTTCCGATGGATATGTGAGAAGGACACTGCAAGTGCTTACTGTTGATGTGCTGGACAAACTTGCCGTCTTTAGCAAAGAGACAAATCTTATTAACATCATGAGGGGTAGCGGAAATAATTTGATCGGACTCAGTAAAGCTTACAGACGAGCATGAAGACCCCAGTCGTATTTCATTAAGGTAGTTCCAGTTGGAGCTAAACAGCTGAATTCTATTATTCGAATAATCAGAAATGGCTATAGTTCCTGTTTTCTCACTCACAGCAACACCGCAAGGATAATTAAAATTCCCTGCTCTGTTGCCACATGAACCAAAGCTGAACTTCAACTGATACTGATGAGGAATGACCTGAACAGTCCACGGACTTCCATCCAGCGGCTGTCCATTTATTTCAATTTTTACGTCATATAATCCAATATGATCTGGTGTGTATTTAATTGTATAACTACCATCTTCCGCGTCTTCAATCTTAAGATCCTTTCCCAAGCTATCCCCTGTTGAAGTGCGAATTTCACAGTTTATGTCATCATCATTATAACTCTGTCTTTCCTCTAAATCCCTCGTGATAATAGTAAAATATGTCTCATTCTGTTCTTCTACCTTCTCACAAAGACCTTTGACAAGTGTCGATGAGGGATCCGTATGACTCACAACAACTCGATCCGAAATATCCAATTTCTGCCCTACTGCGTAATGAACACGGGGTGGTTTGTATATCTCAGGCTTTTTCACGTTCAAAAGGTCTTGTTCCAGGCTCTCACACAGCGTAGACAAAGGAAATTACCTGTGAACGAAGATTGGCAATTGTCAAGGAAACAGAAGCGTTGCTCTTTCCCCCTTTCTGAATTTTTTCTAACGCCGAGCGTTTTTGATGTGATATATGGTCTAGAAAATTAGGTATAAACAATTTCTATTTGAAAAAAAAAAGTATTGATAATCTGCTTTTAAAAAGAAACAATATTTGTAAATCAAACTCTCTATTAAAGTTTCCCTTATCAAACAGTGTATCTGGTGTTGTTGTGGTTTGTTTAAGTTTCACTTTTCACAGAGTGCAGGAAAGCTATAAACACCTAGTGAAATTCTCTACATCAGATTTTCTTGATTTTGCATCAAGCATTATCCAAAACTAGCTTTTTCAGAAAAATTGTCATGAAACTCAGTGATGAGTTGGACACAAACCCCGTCCCCTCCCCCCCCGTGTTGCTCATGGAAGGACAACCAAAAAATATTTTCATATAAATCCTTTTTGGTTCTATTTTTTCCTTTTCCCAAAGAAACTTGTACCTCTCCCTTTTACGTAGCATTTGCGTTCCCTGAAGCGCCAGAGCACAACGACTGTGATACAACCTAGTACTCCTGGGGCTGTCTCAAAACATGCTCGGCTGAGAAATGGACAACTCTAAAAATTAAAACCACTTCCTGAAGGTCTTTTGATTGTATTGAAGAGATCTTGGAGTTGTTATTTTTTTAAACACGTTGATCCCTTTTATTTCAATCCTTAATTTCTTGACGAAATTTTACCATTATTATTAATATTATTATTATTATTATTATTATTATCATTATTATTATCATTATTCTGATCATGATTACCATTATTATTCCTACGTTTACTTTTATCAAGTAAGCGCACTACATCACATTTTCATGGAGGTCCACATTAAACAACTACCTGTAAACGTCTAATAAGCTATATTTTTAAGAGCTCCACGCAGCTAAGAACACTACTGAACTAGTAGTTGAAATAGGCTTGAAATAGGCCCGTACGAGATTTGAACCCATGACCTCTGCGACACCGTTGCAGCTCAGGGTTCAAATCCCGTACGGGCCTGAATTTTTTTCAGGTCCTATTTTCAACTACTAGTTCAGTAGTGTTCTTAGCTGCGTGGAGCTCTTAAATTCTTCTCTTCACAGCAAAGCAAATATTTGAGTTTCACATATCTAAAATCATTAAGCTATGTTTTATTTATAATAGAATAAGCATAAAAAAAATAGGTAAGTTTGTACATTTACGATATTTTACGACTTTCTTCGGAAGCTCTATATAATTAAGCTTTAGAATTTTTTTTTTATTTATGAAATGTGTCCACTGCGCTACCGTTGGGAGTCCTTGGTATGCAACTCTACCTTGCCAAAACATTTTTAAAAGTCAGTCATGCTTACTGTCTTCTGTACTTTCTCGCTTGTTACTTTGAAAGAAAAAGTTGTTTTGCTCATGATTGTGCCCTAAACTCGTGCAGTACGAAATGTATTCAACACTTTCATCGCCATGTTACTGATCTATTGAAATATAAAAATACAGTTTTTCTCATAATCAGTGACCAGAACTTCCCCTTTTTTAGACACGGCAATAAACCGCGGTGTGTGGAAACATTGTACAGTCTCTGAGAGAAAGTCTCCTTCTGTAGTAAATACTTTGAGTCTCTTGTTCCCAGCATCACAGACGATCAAATTGTTAAATTTGTCAACAGCAAGTCCAAAAGGATTCAGTAACCTTCCACGCCCAATTTCATACATAAAATTTCCTTCCTCATTAAAAACCTTGACAAGGTCAGCTTTGGAATCAGAGACAAAGTAACGGTGTGTTTCTTCGTGCCAAATGGCGCACATTACTGATCGATCATGCTCTGAAGCAGTGATACGTGTCAATGGCTCTGTACTGTCAGGAGCGATGACTATGACTTCATTATTCCCTTGATCACAAATCGTTTGAAACTCTTCATCATCAGTCGATATATGAAAAGGAAACTTCAAGTGCTCATTGTCGATGTGCTTGACAAACTGACCCTCCTCAGAAAACAAAGAAATTTTGTGAACATCACCAGGAGTAACGGCAATTATGTGACCGGACTTGGTAAAGTCTAATGAGCAACAGCTAGCCCTCAGTCCTATCTCTCTCAGGTATTTGCCATTAGTGCCAAACAGCTGAATTCTTTTATTTCCATAGTCAGATACGGCAACAATTCCTGTTTTCTTATCAACAGCAATATCATAAGGTCCATCAAACTGTCCTGGTCCACTGCCATTTGAACCAAAACTGAACTTCAACTGATACTGATGAGGTATGACTTGCACACTCCACGGACTACCTTTCAGCGGCTGTCCATTGACTTCAATTTTCACTTCATACAATCCGGTATGAGGTGGTGTGTATTCTACCATGTAACTACTATCTTTGTTGTCCTTAATCTTTAGATCAGCGGTTTCGAAGCTATCTCCTGTGGAAGTGCGAATGTCACATTTTATGCAATCATCCTCGTTATAATACAGTCTTTGCTCTGAATCCCTCGTGATGATGAAAAAATGTGTCTTTTTCTGTTCTTCTACCTTCTCCTGCCAGAGATTGACAAGTCTCGATGAGCGATCCGCATGGCTCACAACAACTCGATCTGAAATATCAAATTTCTGCTCTACTGCGTAATGAACACGGGGTGGTTTGTATATCTCGGGTTTTTTCGCATTCAATAGGTCCTCGCAGCGTCCAATAATCACTGGCTTCGTTTGCAGAATTTCAGCATTGATATTCCTCTCCAAGATATTCTCCCCTTGTTCCAAAGAACTTTTCAACTGCGCGACAGCGAGCTGGAAGTTTTCCAGATGTGTTGCGTGAGCTTTTTGATGGGCTTGATTAATTTCATCGAATTTGGCATTCATTGACGCCTTATGCTCCGTTAATAAGCGAATACAATCGTCCACAGTCTCGTTCATCTTCTCTCTGGCAGCCGATATTTGTGTTTTGTTTTTGTTCATGAATTCAGTTTGGTTCTTCATTTCATTTTCAAAAACAACAACTTCCGCTTTCACTTTCTTCAAAGCCTCAGCTATTTGCATCTTTTGTTCATCTGCAGCTTTCTGCATATCAACCATAGTGTGGTGATTATGACTTACAACACTGCACTTTATGCAGGTGCAAACGTTACAATCTTTGCAATAATACTCCAGTGGTTGATCTTGATGATATTGCTCTGAACACATGACTGGTCTACGAATCAACTTTTCGACATCGTCTGCTTGCAAATTGTCGACAGAGATATTTTTGTGACCTCTTGTGGCCTTGAAGCGTTGATGAGCTTTAAAACAAGTTGTACAGAGAAAGCTCTGGCACTCAAAACAATAGTTAGTCGCAATGTTGTTTTCTTCGCAACTGCCACATTGTTGGGACTCTGAACCACCATCCGTTAGAGCGAGGAGATCCACCAATCGGTTGAGATGAAAAGACGCGGGTAGGCCGCCAAATGTGTCTTCTTGAGGGATTTGAAAGCTAGCCTGACAAACTGGGCATTTGATTACTGTCTGAAGCTGTCTTCTTGCGTAGTTAGCGTGTTTGTCGAGGCATACCAAACAGAATGAGTGTAAACATGGCAGAGTCTTGGGATCTTTGACTGTCTCTAAGCACAGAGGACATTCTGCTTCCTTCCTGAGGCTTTTAAACAGTTGTTGAACATCCATGGATAAACTGGCTCTTCGGACTGGTACCCGTATTAACAAAAGATCATTGTCTGACAGCTTCTCGAGGAAGGTGTGCTTAACCGAAGCGCTCTCTCGAGGCAAGCACAAGCGTTCCACTCAACGTGTCTGTGCATGTATGAAAACATATCTGTGACAGTTATGAATAATCAGACCACTGAGTGATGGATATTTTCTTGCGGCTTGCTCTAAATATATCGGTAAAATTGATAGGATGATATGTTTTTTTAATACCTCCCGTATTGTTTCATTGTTACTCGATCATACAAATTATTTTAATCGGCTTTTCCACTGACTTTTTGTGTGCCAAAATTCTTGCGCTGGGCCGCAGCGTTTCTTCCTTTTTTATGTCATGCGTATGCAAAAGTGCCACCTAAATACTGGACTTAAATTGTTCTTGAAAATATCACGTCTACGATCCTCCACTGTTGAGTTATACGTGTGGCTTTTTAGTAGACTTGCGCACCATCATTTGCTTCACGTTTCCCTCTGTGTATGTAGTATTTAATTACTAAATTTGTATATCTTCCTTTTGTCGTGGACCTTATCAGACGGGATCACGGAATTTTCGGTCCTTAGCCGTAAGTTTTCATATGCGCTATTGCAATTTTAGCGTTTATACCTTTAGTATATAAAATCTTTGTTTGTACAATCGTACAAAGCAATCTTATCTCTTTTCAGATACACAGGTTTCCCCTTTTTGACACATAAACAAACGTTTAAGTGTCATATCACGCATTCCACTACGCACATTGATGATTAAAACAGCACAGTTCCAGCGCTGGATAATTTTTCAAATAACAGGTTTGTTTTTAGGGCAAACTTCCCACCTTCAGAGGCCAAAAAATCGATTTTTCTTTTATTTGACTAAACTGAATTCAAACATTCAACCTAACGTTTCCATAAAAAAATTCTGAAATCTTTAAAAGCACCCGAGTTATTTAGAAAAACGTATTTTCAAATAAAAGTTAATAAATCAGGAAGGTGTCATAATCTCGCTCGCGCACCTGGGCGAATCCCGCGCGGCAACTGTTCATGTTTGGGCTCGATTTTCATGTTTATTCCATATTTTGTTTAAATCGCGCACTTTACAAAATTCACCCGTGGAATCTATTTGCTCATGAAAAAATCAAAAGCCAAAGAAAGTCCGTGGTAAAAAAAGAGAAAAAAAAAAGAAACAGGCCCAAAGAAGAAAGAAAGTACCATTCTGTCAAGAAGAGAAAAAATTAGTTTATGAAAGCGACTGGTACTGGCGGAGCTCCTCGCTGGCGAACAAAGAACAAAGAACAAAGAAGTCGCCGTCAAACCAAAATTTGCCATGCATGATGTTAAAAACGAGGTTTTCTTTTGTTTGCAAGTACCAGCCCTGGTACAAAACATTAATCAATGACAAGAGGATGATAAATAAATTTAGTAATGATATACTGTCCACACAAAGGGAAACGTGAAGCAACTGAAAGAGGATTCGTGATAAGCGGTGAGTGTCATTTAGCATCGGAACAAGTCAACTTAAAGGTACACGCATGACTCAACAGTGGAGGATCAAAAAACGAGAATTGGCCATATTTTTACTTACAATTGAAGTGCAGTGTTTAGATGGCCGTTTCGCATTCGCATGAAAAAAGAACAGCCCAGCTCAAAACTTTTGACAAAAAATAGTCATTCAGAAAAACCGCTCAAAAAAATTTGTATGATCCAGTAAAAACTCCTTAAAGCAGTAGCATTTACCTCTATAACCACCTTCCACCCCTCCCTGCGTACTAATAGTTCGTCCTCGCGCCTCCACCCTCACTAAGTAACAAAAGTCTGCCTCTCAACACTCCCTAAGTACTGATACAGGGCGTGAATTTTTTTTTCTGATTGCCACTTGGCTCCTAAATTCTTCAAAGTGGTAGCCAATTCAAAAAGAGTTGGTCGCCATTTTCAAAGACAAACAAAACCTTTTTTTTTACGCTATCAGCGCTCTAGATAGACCCTCTAAAATTAAGTTTTGAATTGTCTTCAAAAAACATCGCATATACTGCGCAAGACTGAACCCAGAGGGAAAATTTATAAACTGTACAAGTACTCGATTTACACTTCATCTACACGCGCACATTTGCGAATTTAATTTTGTACACCAAAAATTTATTTTGAACAATAAACAACTGCTTGTAAAAAAAGAAAACTTCTAGTAGTAAACGCTTTATAAGCTGTTTTATTCAGCTAGTGAACAACCATAATATGCAGCTAAAAAGTTGAAAAAAGTTTCTACATTTGTGATATTTTACGACTTTTAATCAAAGCTCTGTATTGTTTAATTTTGGTGGTGTGTGTATATATATATATATATATATATATATATATATACCCCTAGAGATATTTTTTTTATCAAATGTGTCCGCAGTCCTCTATGTGAAGCAATTGATGTATTTTCTACCTTGTCAAAAATGTAAAAGAATTTAACAGGCATACTACCTCTCATACATTCTTTCTTTTTAATTTGTTTAAAAAATTGTTTATGCTTACGATCATACCCTAAACTTAAAAAGAAAGTCTAATCTTTAAACCCTATATCAACACAACAGGTCTTATTGAAAAATTTATATAAAAATATCTAAGGATATTCTGTCCAACAATCATTAGATGTTACTACTGGAATGATCTTCCCATATCTATATGGGAGAAGACTACCAGAAAACTATTTCAAAGAGCAGTTTAAAAGAATTTTGTAAACTTTGTCCTGTTTACTAGGGGTAGAACTCTAACGAACGAGACTCAATTAAACTGTTTTATTCCGCTCTCGTATTCGCTTATTTACATCGGGTGTGTAAAAAGCTACTCTGAAAAATTTGTAAGAAATCACTCTCTTATACGATATTTTTTACATTATGATTGGTTGTTGCCAAGTACTGATTTAAAAGGGTCATTCAAGGTTGCGTTGATTATGTAAACCATTCAATGTCCATAATGTTCGCACTCATCATCTGACATGTGTCACGCACGAATCAAAGTCTCCGACAAGAACTTCTTTTCTCATTTTTTATTACTGCCTGAATTTGACCCTGCACCATGGCAGTCCTAAGTAATAGGCACCTAATAAAATTGCTATCTCGTCAAAAATTAAAAAAAATCACGATGCTTTCTTCCTTCTGTCCACTGTTCCCATTTACTTCATTAAAAGAGTGTTTTATGCTGATGAATGAGTCCTAAGCTCAGCCTGTAAGACTTATCTTTAACAAGTATATCGCGATTACGGGTCTAATCAAAACGATAAACACAATTTTTCTCATAATCAGTGACTAGAACGTTTCCATCTTTAGACACGGCAACAAAATACGGTGCGTGGAAACATTGTTCAGTCTCTGACAGAAAGTCTCCCTCGGTGGTAAATACTTTAAGTCTCTGGTTCCCAGTATCACAAACGATCAAATTGTTAAATTTGTCAATAGCAAGGCCGACAGGATAAAGTAAACTCCCGCGACCAATATCATACAAGAAGTTTCCATTCTCATCAAAAACATTGACACAGTCAGCCTTAGAATCAGAGACAAAGAAACAGGCTGTTTCTTCGTGGTAGATGGCGCACATAATTGACTGATCATGCTCTGAAGCAGCAATGCGTGTTACTAACCCTGTTCCGTCAGGAGAGATGGCTATGACCTCATTACTCTCTTGATGACATATCGTTATGTAATCTTCGTCATCAGTGGATATATGAAAAGGAAACTTCAAGTGCTCACTGTCGATGTGCTTGACAAACTGACCCTCCTCAGAAAACAAAGAAATTTTGTGAACGTCACCAGGAGTAACGGCAATTATGTGACCGGACTTGGTAAAGTCTAATGAAGTGCAGTTAGCCCTCAGTCCTATCTCTCTCAGGTATCGGCCATAAGAGTCAAACAGCTGAATTCTCTTATTTTGGTAGTCAGATACAGCAATAGTTCCTGTTTCCTCACTAATGGCAATATCATAAGGAGTATTAAATTGTCCTGGTCCGTTACCAGTTAAACCAAATTCAAAATCATACTGATACATAGGGATGACTAGAACACTGCAAGGACAATCATCCAGCGGTTTTCCATTCACTTCAATCTTCACTTCAATCTCCTCCTCATCTATTCCAACACGATCTGGTGTATAATATACTGTGTAGCAACCATCCTCCTTGTCTACAATTTCCAGATCTGTTTCCAAACTATCCCCTGTTGAAGTGCAAATTTCACACATAATACGATCATCCTCGTTATAGCACTGTCTTCCAAATGAATCTCTCGTGAAAACAACAAAATTTGTATCTATCTGTTCTTTCACTTCCCTTAAAAGTCCTTCGACACTTGACAAAGAGGGATCTGTTTGGCTCACCACAACTTGATCCACAACATCCATTTTCTGTTCTATAACGTAATTTACATGGGGTGGTTCGTAAGTCGCAGGTCTTTCTGCTTTCAAAAGGTCCTCGCAGCGTCCAATAATCACAGGCTTCGTTTGCAAAATTTCAGCATTGATATTCCTCTCTAAGATGTTCTCACCTTGTTCAAGAGAACTTTTTAACTGAGTGACAGCGAGCTGGAAGTTTTCCAGATGTGTTGCGTGAGCTTTTTGATGCGCTTGATTAATTTCATCGAATTTCAAATTCATCGACGCCTTATGCTCCGTTAATAAGCGAATACAATCGTCCACAGTCTCGTTCATCTTCTCTCTTGCAGCTAATATTTGTGTTTTGTTTTCGTCCATTAACTCCATTTGGTGCTTCATTTCATTTTCGAAAATAACAACTTCCGCTTTCACTTTCTTCAAAGCCTCAGCTATTTGCATCTTTTGTTCATCTGCAGCTTTCTGCATATCAACCATAGTGTGATGATTATGACTCACAACACTGCACTTTATGCAGGTGCAAACGTTACAATTTTGACAATAATATTCGAGTGGCTGATCTTGGTGGTATTTCTCTGAACACATGGCTGGTCTGCGTATCAACTTGTCAACATCACTTGCTTGCAAATTCTTGACAGAGATATTTTTGTGACCTCTTGTGGCCTTGATGCGTTGATGAGCTTTCAAACAAGTTGTACAGAGAAAGCTCTGGCACTCAAAACAATAGTGAGTCGCAGTGTTGTTTTCTTCGCAACTGCCGCATTGTTGGGACTCTGTACCACCATCCGCTAGAGCAAGGAGATCCACCAGTCGGTTGAGATGAAAAGACGCAGGTAGGCCGCCAAACGTGTCTTCTTGAGGGATTTGAAAGCTAGCCTGACAAACCGGACATTTAATTGCTGTCTGAAGCTGTCTTCTTGCGTAGTTTGTGTGTCTGTCGAGACATACCAAACAGAATGAGTGTAAACATGGCAGAGTCTTGGGATCTTTGACTGTCTCTAAGCACAGAGGACATTCAGCTTCTTTCCTGAGGCTTTTAAACAGTTGTTGAACATCCATGGATAAACTGGCTCTTCGAGTGCCCCCCGTCTTAACGAAAGATCATTGTCTGACAGTTTTTCGAGGAATATGTGTTGAACCGAAGGGCTTTCTCCGAAAATTTATAAGTTAAACGAGACTTACCTGTAAGTTGAAGTTTGACTGTAATTCTATGAGATACCAGTCACGAACTAGGGAGTCACGTGCCCTACCCCTTCACTTGGTGACTATGTAGCACATTCATCATATTACTTCCCACCCATTATTGTTTGCAATCATTCGCCTTTAAAGACTGATCGCTCGGGCTACTCGCAGATATCTCACGTGACTCCCTAGTTCGTGACTGGTATCTCATAGAATTACAGTCAAACTTCAACTTACAGGTAAGTCTCGTTTAACTTATAAATTCTATTTCGACACCAGTCCTACTCACTAGTGAGTCACGTGAGACTTTAAAGCAGTGCAATTATGTGGGCTGCTGGGTAGGAACAGAGTGTCTCTGTCCTTTGGAAGCTGTACTGGTGGTTGTATTAACATCTGCATTAACTTGGGCCACCACGGTTGAGTTGGCCATTTTGGAACAAGTAGAAGCCCTGTTGCCTTCTCCTCTTGAATCTTTTGAAGAACTCTTGTTATCAGGCTAAATGGTGGAAAAGCATAAAATAAGTAATGTTGCCAAGACATGTGAAAAGCATTGATGGCAAAAGCTTCTGGGTCTACTCTATAAGAGACATAGGGCGTGATCTGGCAATTGATCCTAGACACAAATAGGTCGATGTTAGGGGTAACATTGAGCTTGGTACAAGCCCTTGCAAAGAGAGTTTTCTTTAAGCACCATTCAGTACACCTCCTAAATGTACGCGACTCTTTGTCTGCCTTTACATTTTCACACCCTGGTATACGAGCCATAGTCAGCCATATATCGTGCTTAATGCACCAATCCCATATGTCTTTAGTTAGCTTGTTTAGCTTAGGGGAGTGGCTTGTACCCATCTGGTTAATAGTTGATTCAGTGGTAGTATTATCGACCATGACCTTAACATGTTTGCCATGAGTCAAAGTACTGAATGATTTTAAGGCAAAGAATACAGCTAACATTTCGAGAAAATTGATGTGCTCCTTAGCCTCTTCAACAGTCCAAAGTCCCCCAGTTGAAGAATCACTGGTTGCTGCACCCCACCCCTGTTTTGAGGCATCAGAAGTAATGGTAATATCTACTTCTCCTCGATTTATCGGGTTGGATGCAGTCTCGATTGATTCAATCCACCACTTAAGCTCTTCACCTGCTTGGCTGGATATGCACATTGTGGCATCAAAGTTCCATTTGCTAGCATTAAGAGCTATAGTTTTATCTCGTTCTAAATAGCGGTAGTGAAGGGGTCCATAGGCAACGCCAGGAAAGCTAGATACTATAAGCCCAAGGATCTTGGCTACATCCCTAATAGTAGGCTTTTTACAGTGCAACATAACAGTAGCTGCCTGTTTTAGCTTAACAGCCTTATCAGGTGTAAGGTAGACTTGCATGTTAACTGAGTCTCGAGTAAAACCCAGAAATACCAGTTTTTGAGTTGGGATGAACACCGACTTCTCAGGGTGTACCACAAATCCCAAACTGTCTAATAATTTTACCGTGTCAACCACATTTTTTGCACAATCATCCCAGACTGTCCCCATCAACTAGGAGTCATCTATGTAACCTGACAATAAGTGGCCAAGCTGTCGAAGGGTGGCAAAGACTGGTTTCATTAGCTTGGTAAATTTCCTAGGGCAAAAGGCCAACCCATTGGGAAAACATGTAAACTGAAATAACATGTTGTTCCACTCAAATTTGAGGTACTTCTGGTGTGGCTTTGCAATAGGGACCGAATAGTAAGCATCTTTTAAATCGATTGACGCCATGTAACAATATGGGGTCATGAGCCTAATTGCTGTCCAGACCGAGTCCATTTTAAAATGTTGGTATTCAACATGCTGGTTAAAGCTTTTCAAATTTAAGATCATTCGAGATGATCCATCTTTTTTATTTGTCACAAAAATAGGCGAAATATATTCTCCACTTTCATGTTGAGTGGGTACAATGACACCTTTGTCAAGCAATTTTTTAATTTCAGCTTCAATAACTAGTGAGTCACTGATGTTGAATGTTTTCCTTTTGGAAACCAAGTTTTTTGTGGGCTGTGTGGAAAATTCAATGTACTGACCCCTAACACAGTTAAGGACTTCCGAGTCGGAAGTTAGTTCTTTCCATTTACTAAGGAAATGTGTCAGCAGGCCACCCCTGAAGCTTTGCACCTTATTCGCAAAGATATGTTTCATATTGGACTCAAACAAGACAAGGTTATTTACCTGTAAATTATTTAGTGTGTCAGCGGAAATCATTGCTGCTTCTTCCCTTGGTCCTGTTGTCGGAAGAAGGGTTTTTGAAGTGGCTTCGAGTTCCACTGACGGCCTTTGGCTAAAAAAGGCTTGCTTCGCCGATCAAATATTTGGTAGTTTCGGGAAGGGTGTCCCCTCGAGTTTTTGTGGCGATTCCCAACTGCTGTGGAGCTTACTCTGTTGGATGCTCGTATATTATTCAGCTGGGTTTGCAGGTCGTTTCCAAACAGCTGAGCTGTTACAGGAACATGGAAAGCACACAGACCAGCATAATCTTTGTTCAGATGCGGTTTGAGCGACTCCCTGCGACGGTGGGACAGGTCGATATGTGCGTGCCCTAGGAGAGCGACCGCATCGGTGTTCACTTTGACAAGTTTCTGAATGTCAGAGTCTGACTTCGGCTGCTTCGAATTCTTCATTTCTAGCAGCATCCCAATGGATTTGAACATTGCAGCACCAGCTGTGGCAATCGTTTTCTGGATTGAGCTGGACCTGAGGTCCTGCTGTTTCACTGAGTGGCTCAGTTTATCCCAGATTTCAGGACTAACCCGCGGTGTTGTGAGAGTCTCACAGTTCGCCGGGCGTAAATACTTCGCCGACTTATCCTTTAGTTTCGAGTCTGGCAATTTCGTAGACCACAGGTTGTTGATAAAGTCCGCCAGTTGTTTCTCAATAGCCGGACCTGAGTCGTCTGCATTGAGAAAATCCTCTGCGATTTCTGACAACAATGGGTCATTGCTGCCATCGTTTTGCTCAAGTGGGGCACGTGGTTTATCCTTGGAAGTTCCGTCGGCTTCAGTGCCACAAAGGACCTGCAAGTCTGCATCAGAGTCTTCTCCATCGTGCTCTGAACCATCGGAGGCACTCATTTCGTCTCTGGAACAGTGTTTACGCCGTTTAGGGTCGATTTGTTCGTCTGTGTGGCTGGAGTGAAGACGCTTCAGCGACTGCTGCACGGCGATCATCGAGTCTGCCATTGCTCCGAGGTTTCTGTTCACATTTTGCATCATACTAAACATGGGATCCGGGTGGACATCAGTTGGAGTCTTTTCTTTAGGGTCCGTTTCAACGGTTAAGAGTTCGTCCTCCGCCTCAGTGGAAAGTATTTGATCATGTTCGTCCGCCATAATCCAAGCACTGGAAAAATACACGACCGACCGCTCTGGAATTACGCGCGCAACTGATCGCTCGGGCTACTCGCACATATCTCACGTGACTCACTAGTGAGTAGGACTGGTGTCGAAATAGAATTCACAACAGGCAACCAAAGCGCACCACCCGATGTTTCTGTGTATGTATTTGTGACAGTGATGAATAATTAAATGACTGAGTAATGAATATTTCTTGCGGCTCGCTCTGAAGATATCGGTAAAATTGAAAGAAACTTAGGCGGATAATATGTTTTTTTATTTCACTGCCCGTATTGTTTCAGACGTCTAGTCATGTATCATTCTGCATAGCTCGTCCTTGGCTCTCAAATAACGAGACCAATGAGACCAACGAAAGAGCGTGATAACGATAGCGGACAGAGAGCAATGCATTTGCATTTATTACGTTTGTCTTTTGTGGTATCGTAAGGAAAAATTTCTCTGAGGTCCCTTTAGAGCTTGAAAAGGTGAAGAATTTGGCTAGGCGGTGCATCTGTAGAGATCGTTTAGAATCCTTTTGCGGAGATTTGAAAATGGAGAATTGCAAGTAAACGTTTAAAGTGCCTTTGACAAGAAATTTTTTTGCGTAAATATTTAGCTTATCATATGTACAAACCTATTCCGATAGAAGAAAAATTTCAAAAAACTTAAAAGTCGGTTTTTTCGGGCCCTTAAGTGCTCTTATTTTGTCTTAAAAGTGTGCCATGGACTGGTATCAGTCAGCGTTGAAATACTCTTGAAATAATGTCCGATAGCGAAGTATACCTACCTTCAGCAAGCTCTACCGAGAGTTGTGATACATCGTACTCAAGTAGTAAAGAAGAAATGGAAGTTGCGAGTACGATTCAGCCCAACGAAGGAGAACCGCCTGCATCTGAACGAAGATTTCGAAAAACACTGACAAGGACGGTTTCTCGCCTGCGAACACAGTGTTCAGGTCAAGATTAGAACAAAAGCTCCCGTTACTGAATGTTTAGTTTGTTTCGTTCGTGTTTTGTTTTCTATGGCGAAATCTATGTTAAGAGTGGGTAGCTGTGTTCGTTTCTGTTGCCATAACATTTTATTCCTTCGCACTAAGTGCGGCGAAGGTTCCCCTTGGTCAGTGCTCTAGAGCTTCGTTGCTGCAGAATAATCCCCTTAAAAAACAAAAAGCTAACTTTTGACGAAAGTAACATAACAATTTTATTTAAGTGTCGATGTCTTTAGCTTCAAAAGCTAATTGGGGACACTAAAATAATAAGAAAAAATTATTCAATGAGTTTATACATGGTATCATTGAGTATATTCATAATTCACTAAAATCTAAAGTTTATAAAAAGTTAAAATTTACGGAGTTATCCCTATCAAAATATACAGAGAGGTGCTTAAAATATTTCTAAAAATTCTCATAAATTACAAATAAGGCAGGAGCCACAATTGTCACTTATGAGATCTACAAGGTTAATACGCCGTATGTTGGACATTAAAGGATTGTAAGGTAGGTAAAAGTTAACTGCT